GTGGTTAGCATGACCCTGGAGCCCGTTTAAAAGAAGAGAAGTGCTTGTAGCTGTGAGTCTACACAAGAAAATGACTTATAAAGTTTCCAGATATTTCTGTATTCTTCTCATAAAATGCATGTTAAATTTGGAACATGTTCTATCAATCAAGTTTCAATTAGTCAAGTTTATTTGTATAGCACATTTCAGCAACAAGGCAGTTCAAAGTGATTTACAACATAGAGCATCTAAATCTATATTTATATCCAACTAGTATTCTTCTGCATACTGCGGTGTGCGTAACTTTACGTCATGATGCACATAAAAACAGGTTTCATCCAATTCTCTTGAAGAAGTGAGAATCTGTCGGCCTCAGATGTTGCCTGACTAAATGACCAGCGCGTCACTGGATCCACTTCTGCTTTTCAGTTCTATTTCAGAGCCTTTGGTCAAATATTATGTCTTTATTGACTCAGGTGACAGGTAGCAAGGCGTAAATCTTTCTGTTCCTGTGCTGACTGTGTGATTGACTGTCTTGTCAAAGTGGTTAAAGATGCCTGAAGCGACCTTCCCCTCTGGGACATCAGCTGCGTCACGACGGCAGAGCTGCTGCTGCTGCTGCTGCTGCTGCTGCTGCTGCTGCTGCTGCTGCTGCTGCTGTGAGCTCGCAGGCTGTGGTCAGAACGGCTGTTTGCTGAGGTCACGCATATGAAGCTGCAACAAACGACTTCTGTTTCCTTTCTCTGGTGTGTGAGGTAGAATTATTTCAAACGTCCACTGTAGGAGCAGTGTTATAAAGAAATGGTAAAAATGAACTTCTTTGTCTTCTGACCTTAATAGACAACCAGAGCAGAAGTTTGAGTTGAATCAGTAGGAAACAGGAAAGTTCTAACTCACGTTTTTTACATGCAGAGATTACGTCAGAAATATTCCTTTTCTTCTGATGGCTGTAGTGCCAGGATAGAAACAACCCACCATGGTAGCCTGCTTTCCTACTCAATTCTGCTTGATTCTCAGCTCCATTCAGTTCCATGTCTCGGATTTCTCCCACTGAACTTGATTTCTTCAATGGAATTTCTACGGGACCAATCAGTGAACACAAGGAGATGTTGTGATAACATCGATTTTTGGCTCTGTTGTAGAGCTGTAGTCTGCCTGTAGTTTTAGCAACGGCAGCAGAGGAAGCGAACGAAGCCGTTCAGTCTGTGTTGGCCACGCCTCTAAATACTGAATTAACACTAACAGTCGCCTCTGTAGGATAAATCTGCAGCTAAAAATACTTCTAACATTGACAAGTGAAAAGTTCAGTTCTTTCTGCTTGACTTCACACCAACAAGGTGTACTGATCTGTTGGTTAATTGTTTTAATTAATCAATTATTAATTTGATGTCAAAAGGTTTCCTAACAGATTTTCTTTACAGAATTTGAGCTGGGTGAAGTTGATGAAGTCTAGGTAGAACAGATTCATCTTAAATTAAAAACGTTTATATTTTTTGTTGTTTTGGCTTAATTAATGCTCTGAACATGAGGATTTTTTTTTTCAATAACTGACCTCTCTTTTTGAGTCTGTATACTCCAGTTAACGATTAATTGATGAGTAAATTAGTCTACAATTGTTTCAGTAATCATGTCATTATGATTAATGCGATTAATCAGTTCAGCCCTATATTTAGACATTATTCAGACATTTTTACAACAAACATGTCTAAAATCAGTCATTTTAAGTTTACTGAACTTAAAATTTCAGCAAATTTTCTGAGAAAATTTACTGAAAGTCTGATTTTACAACTTGTATTTTTATAACAGCTGACAAACAAGGGAGTCACAGCATATTATTATTATTTATTTATTTATTTATTTTTAATACTTTCAATAAGTCACTAATTAAATGTGTGAAGTCCAAAGGAGTTTAACAGTCTTTGGGTTTTCATCAGAGAATGTTTCCATCTAATCTCAAAGACGTGAAGCAAGAAACCTTTAACCAGCGGCGCCATTGATCAGCAGCACACACCTCCGCTCCCCGCACCGCTGCCCCCCTGAGGCCGACGCCGCCCTGCCATGTCGGCCTCGTCCCCCCAGCTTGGCTTAATGAGATGCTGATGAATCAGTTCTGCTGCTCCTCCTCATCCTCATCAGCCAGACCTGAGGCGGATGAGTAAACCACTCCTCGGTCAGCTCCACTTCATTCACGCCTGTTTTATACGTCTGGTGATGCATCACCAGTTCCACGGCGGTGGGGGAGGGACGGGACGTGAAACATGAAATATTGACAGACAGCAGAAACTGAGCATGTTCTTTGTGTTTGTTCATCCTTCCTATCAGTCGGCGCTACGCCTCGCCCTCTGCTACTCTCAGGGTCTTACGAGGAACCGACACTTCCTCTGACTCGTGATCCAGATTCTTCTGCCCACACTCTGGCTTTCTCAATTCCTCCCGTGACATAAACGCTCTCTTACTCAGCGATGCGTGCCGGCCTTTCAGTACACACAGGGGCAGTGGAAACGGTGATCTCCTTTCTTAATAGTTTTTATCTTAATGTGGGCAGGTTTAACTGGAAATTAAATCAAAGACATTCGGAGATGTATCACTGAGTGGAAGAAAAACTGATGAAACCACTGATTCAGTGGACCTCATGCAAATGTTTGTATGACACAGTAAAGCATAGGAAATAGGGCTGACACAATTATTCAGATCAATCGTGATGAATCGATGATTGAAATAATTGTGAACTAATTTAGTCATTGAGTAACTGCCACCTTAAGGCTTGAAAATGGCTTTTACAGACAAAAATAATTTTTTGTGTGTTCAACCCAAACTCCTCGTGTGGCGATTTTAGCTTCACCTGGTTTAGATTCTGTAAAAAGAAAATCTATAAAGAACCTTTTGCTGTCCAGTTATTAATACATAGTTCTTATGTGAAGTCACACTTCTGGGAACTATGCAGCTGACGGCCATCTTGGTAGGTGTCTGAAACCAATTGTCATGATGGTGGCAGTGGAGTTGCTATGGCAACAATAAACAAGCCACATTCTCTGTGTCGATCCTGACAGCAGCGGTTTTGTTGATAAATCTTTCTCTTGCACATTGTTCAAGAGAATATCCACAGTGCATCTTTACGTTGCACTGTGCTTGTCTACCAAGATGGCGGTTTTTATGCATTTTTAAAATAGTAAAAAAATAGGTTTAAGTAGTTAAAGGAAAAATCAGTAGAATGTGGAATTTTTTTATACAATTAATTGACTGTGAGTAAGCGACAGAATAATTAATTACTGAAATATTTTTTAGGTGCAGCGCTGGAGCGATGTTGAGCCTAAATGTGCAGTTTGGGGTTCACATCAATAAAGAATAAAATAAAACGCGTTCAGTAACGGTGTGGAGTCAGCAGTGTCAGAGTGGGTTTACCACTGGAGCAGTCATCACATTTAAATCAAGCATAACGGGAGCAGAAATGACTTTAAGACCACCAGAAGTGTCCGTCACAGACAGTGGGAGGTTTTCTCAGGCATAACAAAACGTAGAGCAGCTCTGCCCTCCTGCTCTCTGTCAGTCAGCTGCGTTTCTTGCTTCAAGACGAGAAAAACATCAAAGTTTTACCGTGAGAAGAAGACAGAGTTGGATTTTAGTATTATTTTCCATATCTAGTTGGAAAAAATATTTAGAAACAAACTTAAAGGAATCTTCTAAAGTTAGCATGTGTGATGATGACAGTCAATGGACCTACTAACACAAACATCTGGGTTTTATACTTTATTCTTAGCAGGGTAGGCTTGATACATATGCTTTAAAACAACCTAGTGTTAATGCTTGAGAAGAATTTAAGATTTAGTCACATTTACAAACTAGAATTTCAGCTCTGATCTTACATGTGATCTAAAATTTATGAATACCTGAAATAGCTTTCAACCCTCACCCATTTGCTATATTAGAGCTAGATTACATTAGTAATATAGTAGCTATAAAATACATAGCCAGCAACAGCAGGGTTAACAGTGATGTTTTCTGGGGGGGGATTAAATACAGTCCTTAAAAATAAACCAGTGTTAAAACTGGCATCTTCAGACAGTAAACCGAGCGAATTTAATCATATTGGAACAGACAGGAGAAATAATGGTAAATATATAAATATGCATTAGGCTGCATCTATTGCAGTTTTCTGGCCAACCACTGATTACTGACCTTCCGATACCAATTTTGATATCAACATTTTTTGTATGAAATGTCACTAAATATAGCAAGAAAGCTGCTGAGTTGGCTGAGTGAGGTTACTGCTACCAGCTACTGTTGACAGTCATGTGCAGACATGACCTGGTGAGCCAGTCTGGCCGTCAAACTTCTCTCACAGGAGAGCACAAGAGGACAGTGGTTGATTTTTAGACCTTTGCTGAGGAAGATCAGATTGGTGGATAAGATCGGCTTCACATGTAAGAATCTGACAATCTCTCATCTTCCAATATTAAGGAAATCGGCACCAATAAATCTGTATTGTTCAGCTGGACTAATGAGTAAAACCGTCTCTTTGGGCTGTGAAGGTGGCAGACCCCTGGGCACCACACACAATCCCAAAAAACTGAAAGTGGTGGTTCTGAAGTGAGCTTAAAATGTGAATGCAGATGTTTGAAACGAGGCGTTACAGCAGACATTGTTGAATATTCTGAGTCAAACAGTAGCTGGATTTCCATTTGTTTCACCTCAAACAGGCACGCAGGAACGCCTGAATAATTCACCAGCCTGCCTTTTTCCCCTCACGCCATTTGTACCCGACTCCCACAGCATCCCGCTCAGTGAACGGCTTTGAACCCTCCCCAGCTTGTTTCTCTTTCTTGGATCTGTTTCCAAGGTCACACTTTCCTCCCAGACGCCAGTCCTCAGCGCTTCTCTTTTTAATTCTCCATCTGTTCCCAGAAGCTCAGCAGCACTGAGACGTTTCGCAGCTGATCTCCCTCTCTGCTTCCCACCGCCTGCCTCTGAAACCTGTTGTGGTCACGCTGTTTATCCGTGATCTCTGCTGTCTTCCCTTCCAGCCTGAAGTCTCTGGTGTCAACTGGAGGTCGGAGTGTACAGGCAGCATGTGACTGGTGAGTTTAAACACGTGTTTACATTTATCCATCCTTAACTAAACCACTAAATGTGCGCACAGCACAAAACACATACTCATCACAAGTCAAGGTGTGAGAAAGCTGTGTGTTGTGGCGCCCTCTGGTGTTGTTTTGTGCTGTATTACATCTGAATATTTCAATAATGAATGTTGAAATAAAAAATTGAAGATATCGATTCATTCCAACATTTACCATCAGCTTAAACTGAATGAACTAAGAGGGAAAATACATCTCTCAGTTATTAATGACAAGCTAATCTACAAAGCTGCATTAGTTCTACAGGTGAATTTTTATGAGAGAAAAGATGCTGCATAAATGACTCAGTTGTGATTTTAACTCTATGATGTCAACAAAACATGTCAGGCTTGCAGAATAGTGAAAGTAGAAAACGTGTGGATGAAGACGCTCCGGTCAGATGAGACCAAACATTCCCCCACAGTGAAACTTAGACTTGGCAGCATCATGCTGTGGAGATGCTTTTCTTTAGCATGAATGGGGAAACTGGGAGGACGTGGGGGCTGGATGGTGCTCAGACTAAACCTGCTGGAGGCTCAAAAAGACTTGAAACTGGGGTGGGGGGTACGCCCTCCACCCTAAACACACAGCTGAGCTGTTTGGATTAGAGCAAGTTCACTGGTCCCATGTTCTCTCTGGAGCCCCAAAGCTTTACAGGGCTTTGTAACCCATTTCTGATTTGATACAATTCAGCTTCAATTTCTCTTGATCTTGACATGATGAAACTCAGCAATACTCAGTGAACTGTTGCCAGGCAGGTTTTGCTTAAAACGTGATGTGTCACAGATGATTTCTCAAACTGTGCTGTTAAAACTGAAGAATTCTGTAAGGTAGTAATGTTTATTATAATCTCATCATATCTTTGTTAGGAAAAACTGTTGACAACTACATATCATATTCCATTTTTTCACATTCATGCACTAGTTTGCCAACATACATTAGAGCAGAAATCTGTCCCCACCAGGCTGTTCTCCCACGTGGACGACCCGTTCCTGGACGACCCGCTGCCCAGGGAGTTCGTTCTCTACCTGCGACCCAGCGGGCCGCTCCAGAACCAGCTCTCACACTTCTGGCAGCAGAGCCGGGTCACCTGCGGCAAAAACAAGGCCCACAATATTTTCCCACACATCACTCTCTGTCAGTTCTTCATGGTGAGCTGAAACTACCGGACCCCGTCTCAGCCGTGTTCAGTCCGTCCCACCACAGGACCTGCCTTCTGACTCCTCTCTTCCTCCCAGTGTGCCGACCCCAAAGTGGAAGCCCTGTGTGAGGCCCTGCAGACCACCGTGCAGCAGTGGAGGGGCCGCTTCCCCCGCCCGCTGCCTCTGGAGCTCTACACGTCGTCCAACTTCATCGGGCTGTTTGTGGAGGAGCAGGTGGCCGACGTCCTCAGGCAATTCGCAGCCGACTTCGCCACAGAGGCCGTCAGGAAGACAGGTAGGGTTCTGCAGAGGGATTGTGGCGCACAGTGGTGTCACTACGCCTGTTTTAGGGGGGATGATGTCCCACATAAAATATTCTCAACTACAGAAACAACCAGTCAGAGCCACGAGGTGGGGCTTACCGTTGCCAGTCATGCTTGTGTACACATTCCTCAGACCCTCCCCCTTCCTCTCTACTCAGCTGCAGCTAATTCACCACTAGCAATGAATGCTAATGCTAAGTAGCATTAGCATTCATGAAACAATTTGGTGATGTTTTGTTAGTATGTTTTTTGTTTTTGTGTTTTGTTTTTGTACAAATTCAATGCAATGCTGAGAATTTTATTTTATTTTTTTAAATCACATAAAGTATAATTTTTAGCTGTCAGTTACCCTTTACTTCATATCACAATAGTTTGGGAGATCTGGGTAAAATATGGGTACGACTTCTGTTTCTGTTGCTGTTTGAGAAATGTCATACTTTCCCTCCCCGTCTCCTGGGGACCGAGCCCCCTCGTCCTCAAAACCTAGTGATGCCCCTGGTGGGCAAACACACGGTTTGATGGTAGGTAACTTGTAATGTATGCTGGGATTTGTCTGGACCAGAGGCTGACAGTACACAGCAGAATGACCACCAATCCCCTGTCTCCTCCAGAGGTCAAAGTGGAGCCTCACAAGAAGCAGCTCCACCTGACGCTGGCCTACAACTTCCCCAGTGATCACCTCTCCTCACTGGAGAAGCTGGCCAAGGGCATCGAGGTGAAGCTGGGCTGTGATTGGCTGGCTGTCCTGTTCTCCCGGGACATTCGTTTTGCTAACCATGAGGTAGCTCATACTCTGAGAAAAACAACAACAAAAAAACATACTTCCCATGTAGGACTGGGCGATATGGCTTGCAGATAAAATCTAAGATTTTTTTTAAACCAAATCCTGCTTTGAATTGATCGTTTTCTTCTCAGTTTATTTTCTAAAAAAATGACAAAAAATATTTTCAAAAATGGCTTTTATTTCATTCATCCCTTCTGGGAGCCGTATCAGGGCCACGCTTAGAGAATTTTTGTTTAATTATGAGGATACAGTCTTAATGTTAACAGAATAAAGATGCAATTTTACCAGAAGAAAAATGTCTGAAAATTGAGAAAAAGTTGCAATGAGAAAAAAAGATCAGGATCTGACAGGAGCAGCTCAGTTCTCGGACATTTGTTTCAATGTCCGAGAATTTAATTACAGGTAATAATTAAATTATTACAGGTAATAATTTAATGCTGATGTTTTAAATGATGAAGTATTTCCACTAAGTATTATCTGTAAAATGTATACCAAAGTATTTTATTTTTTTGTTATTTTTGTGTTGGATTTCTCATAAAATACTACTTTATTCTCCTAATATTTGGACTTTATTCTGGTCACAATAAAACTTTATTCTTGTAGTATTTCAACTTTACTGGTGCGCACTAGTATTCTTGTATTGCTGTGACTTTATTCTCCTAATTAAAAGTAAAACATCTTAGCCTGGCCCTAATCTTCTGCTGTATTAGTTGGGCTTTGACTTTAATTCAAAGACCAAATAAATAGAAGCTGTAAAACAGGATGGAAGTCCTCGGGTGTGCAGACATCGCTCTGAACTATGAAAACTAAAGGAGTTCATTGGTGGAAAACAAATCCATATTTCCATAAACTAAATCTTCAAATCGATTTATCGCCCAGCCCTAATTCCATGTCACACATAATGTTCAAATCCTGATCACCTCACAGTCTTAGTTTTGTGACTGTCACGCCTCTGGATGTGCCTGCAGACGCTGAGGGTCATGTACCCCTACATGCCCCAGAACGACGACGAACTGGAGCTGGTTCCTGGGGATTTTATCTTCACGTCTTCCATGGACCAGACCAGCACCAGCGAGGGCTGGGTCCACGGAACCTCGCTGGCCACCGGCCTGTCTGGACTTCTGCCTGAGAACTACGTGAGCCTGGCCGACGAGTCTGACACCTGGGTGTTTCACGGGTGAGGAGCGTCTCCTGCTGACCGGGACGACATAAACCAGTCAGACAGATGAAAAAGCATGAGGGAACACCGGCTGCAGTTCTTTGCAGGAGCACTGATTACCCAATTTAAAAAAAACTTGATGGCCGATACCATATTTGTTTTCCTGAAAAATCCAAAGTAACAAAGTCCACACTGCGCCTTGTAAGCCAGCTGATTCAGTTTCAATTTAGGAGCAGAATTGAAATTAAATTGAAATTAAATTTCAATTCTTCAGATTCAAAGCAGTACTGACTGCTGGAGAAGGTCTTTCCTGCCAACAGTCATCAGTCTTCAGTAACTCTTTGAAGAATCTAAGTTAATGAGTTACAACAACATTTAATTTCCCTTTGGGATCAATAAAGTATTTTTGAATTTTGAATTGAATTGAACTTTAATTGCCTGTGCACAGCAGCAACTCAGGGCCTGACAAAACTTAAAACTTCAGGATCCTGACTCGGCCCGATGCCTGCCTCCCAGATGTAGAGGTTTTGATTCTGAGTTGTAGAATAAACATTTTTAGTTAGTTTTGTGTTCAGCTTCTCCATCACATCAAAAACGAGAGGCGCATCGATTGCAGTCTTCAGGCTGAATACTGATCTTACCTGACCTGCTGATTCTGATTTTGGCCGATACCGACTTTGTTTCTGTCTAAAGAGTAGCTAAATATAGGAACAAAACTGCTAAGTTGGCAACAGCAGGTGGTTATTGTTGCCTGCAGATGTGACCTGGTGGACAGGTCAGATTTGGTCAGAACTTGTTTTGACCGCAACACTTTATGTGGCTTTTGATAAAGTAGAATATATTATGCATTGAAAAACTATCAAATATTTTTTGAGTTATTTAGAAGATAATCTCATAATCATATGTAGCTCCATATTACATTTGGATATTTGGATCAAAATTCTAGGTGCAGAATTGTAATGTATTGTCAGAGCAGAGGAACAAAGTACAAATTATATATATTCTTATAAAATATTCATTTTTATGAGTATGGCCAGGACAGTCACAACTGTTATTTGTCAACCCCTCCTGGGGGTTTTCGGTTCAAAAATCATGCAACTGATTTCTCAGCAGGCGTCAGTCAGCTGTCCGTCTTCCTTCTCTTCCCAGCTCCCATTCCTTCTTCAGCTGTGGACCCAGTGATAAAGCTGGTAAAGAGAAAGGAATGTTTGACGGCCTGCTGGACGGCCGACGTCCCGACAGCACCAGTCCTGGAGACACGCCTGCTCTCAGTGTGATCTGCCACCCTATGCAGGTAGTGGTGGTTATTGATATTGATAAAAAAGCTACTAGTCCCACAGAGAGATTACTTCACTTATAACAAGTCAGTTTTCTCATAAGTGAAATAATCTCCCAGTGGAACTAGTATTGTTTTAGTTTTTTTGTTTTGTTTGTTTTTTTTACCAATATTTAGGAATTATTGACTCAAAATGACAGACTGGCGACTTGTCCAGGTGAATCCGTCTCTCGCCCGGAACATTAGCTGGAGAGGCACCAGCACCCCTCCTGACCCCACTACGGGGCAGGGTGTAAGAAAATGGATGGATGACTCAAAACAAACTTCTATATCTTCATGTAAAGATAGTTTGGTCTTATTGTTAGTGTACTACCATATTTGCACTAGAAATGAGAACAAAAATACTTGGAAAGATTTAGTGTCTTTTCTGTGGTTCATGAAATGAGAAGCTTCTCGTTGTGTTGAAAGAAAACCACCCAGGATTAATTCTCCAACAGGAGGCTCATACCTGCTTGTGCAGTGAAATCCAGTTTGTGACGTCTGTTTTTTGACCAGCTGGTGTGTTTTGTATAACTCTCAGTTCAAAGCGTTTCTGCTACTGTGCCTCTTCCTTACTCCATCATTTCTGGGCCTGTTTCACCGCAGCAGGTCCTGCGGTTCAGTGGCAGCCACACTCGGCAGCCCAAACGGACGGTGTTCGTGTGCCGGCACGGTGAGAGGATGGACGTGGTGTTTGGGAAACACTGGCTCACTCTCTGCTCGGACAGCAAAGGTGAAACTTTGAACTCTGCCAGGTCTGACTTTACACCAGAGGTGAAGCCTAAACGCATGTTGTCGCTCTGCAGGTAGATACGTACGCTCCAACCTCAACATGCCTCCCAGCCTGCCCCTGTGGGGAGGACAGAGAGACTACGACATGGACGCCCCCATCACTGTGTTTGGGTCCACTCAGGCCCGATTAGTGGGTACGTCAGTGAAAGAGTGGTCAGCAATGTGGCTTATGAAACATATCCATGGTAACCGTGTGCTGCCTTCCCAGGCGAGGCCCTGTTGGAGAGCAACACAATGATAGACTTTGTGTACTGCTCTCCATCACTGCGATGTGTTCAGACTGCACAGAACATTTTGAAAGGTGAGCCGGTTCTGTTCGGGTGTCGGTTCCGACAGCCCTCCTGTTCTCCCTGACCGCCGGGTGTTTGTGTGAACAGGCCTGCAGCAGGACGGGAAGCTGAAGGTGCGGGTGGAGCCGGGTCTTTTCGAGTGGACAAAGTGGGTGTCGGGGAACTCCATGCCAGCGTGGATCCCCCCCACTGATCTGGCTGCTGCCAACTTCAGTGTAGACACAGCTTACAGGTGAGGGAGATGTCCGTTTCCATGACAACACTTCGTATTTAACTGTTCGGATGGAACGGATGGTTCCAAACGGAGGAGTTAAAGTTTCCTGGAGGTGAATAGACAGACGGGTCCAGTCCTGGTCTGCCACAGAGACACGGTGACGGAGGCGGAGACTCCAGTCAAGTCAATGTTGCTTTTCAAAAATAGGATTTCAGACTCGACTCAGACTCCTGGTTCAACACTCGAGGTTTTGTAGCAGACTTTAGGAGTCGGTTTGTGCTCTACAGAATCGAGCTAACTCCCCCCCCC